TGTGTGTGTGTGTGTGTGTGTGTGTGTGTGTGTGTGTGTGTGTGCGTGTGTGATTTGGTCATTTCAAGTAAAACAATGCCAGAGCTGGATAAACTCAAACTGGGCAACCTGGTTTCTGTCCAAAAAATACTCAGACGTTCATATAAACAGTGCAGAGTTGTGTTAGCTCCTTTCAATCTACTGTTTGTCCAGAGTGTCTAAAGTTGTATTTGTAAAAACACAATGTCAGTCACAGATATGACGGACAACACTGTCAAAATTGTAAATTTTACGTGTCTCAAAAAAAAAAAATGTTTGTAATTTGGCCCACAGCCTTGCAGTGGTGCACTGTGTAATTTTCCATATCAGGGCCATACCTACCTTTTTTCACAGACTTTGTCTCTGAGAGAATTTGCTGTAGAGTGTGATCCTGACAGCTTTGTTCTCTTGTGGGTGTGTGTTTGCCCTCAGCACAGGGCCCGTCCGTGACTGCCACCGCTAAATGTCCCCTTAGCTTCGGCAAACGGCCAGGCTCTGTCACAGCCGCTGACTGGACCAGCTGTTTCTTTCTCTTTCTTCCATCTTATCTCCTCCATCACACTATCTGTCTCCCTCTGTGTGATTTGCCTTGTGAAAGAGGCAGTGATAGGGCGCCTGGTGGTGCTGCACTTGACACCAAAGTTGATATCCACACATGCAGGCATCAGTGAGAGACATTTGTGTGTGTGTGTGTGTGTGTGTGTGTGTGTGTGTGTGTGTGTGTGTGTGTTTGACAGAGTAAGGCAGGACACAAATCCCAGCATGTGGATTGTGGGAACACAGAAGACACTTGCGCTCTTGTTGTGTTTGTGGATCTGTTGACAGACAGGTGGGAGGAGGACGATGAAGGTCACATTGCAGAGTGGTAAGTTTGGGACGCGGCCGGTCTGTCCCTGTTAGACAAACAATGAAAGTGAAATGGGATGGGTCTGGGCTTAAGCTGTCTGGCCGTGCCTTGGCTAGGGCTGCTGGCGTCGGCACTTTTTCTGTACCCTGTGCATCTCACATTGGGAGTTATCAGAGCATGCAGGCAGCGGGAGTCACAGCAGCAGCAGACCAGGAGTAGTAGTAGTAGTAGTAGCAGGGGCTCAGTGGGAGCTGCAGAGGGTCCTGGATCTGACCTGATTTGTCAGTTCGATGAAGTCACTGAAGTGTCGCTCCTCTCGGGAATTGCTGGTCATAATTCAGCAATCATGGTTGAAGCAGGGATTCACTGTTTCAGGTTTTGCTGAAAGAAAAATAGAAGTGCATAATGGATTTATCAGGAGTGCAATTTCACATCTAAACACATTTGAAGAGGCTCTGATTGTCCTGGACTCTCGTCATGGCTTATCCCGAACATTTTGATTGGCTGAAAGAAACCATCAGTTTGTTTCCAGGTAAGAGATGAGAGAATTAAAAAGTTAATGTTTAGGCTGAAATATAAATGTAAGAATCAGAGGTATAATTTAACACTGCAACCTCTGGATCATCACATCTTATGTGTGGTGGCGATGTTACAAAACTTCTCAGCATGTTGTAAACACTATGCGAGTGATAAAAAGCTTCTCCGGCTGAAGTTGTTTACCGCTCTACAAATACATCTACAGGGAATTGAAGGTGCGATGCAACGTCTATGTTTACAGTTTTTGAATTTAAAAAAAAAATCATCTGAAAGAGCGAGGTCTGGGGAGAATGAGTGAATTCAAATGGGACAGAGCCGAACAGCAGACTACGGAGCGGGGCAGGACAAAGAGGCGAGCGATGACAGAACAGAGACGCTAATGATGCAGGAACAAATTTTGTCTCGCTTTGTGCAGCTTCTGTCATTCAAACCACGTAAAGCCACACTGAGAAAAAGAATTGTACCTTGAGTGAGATTGTTCCTTCAGGTTTTGTTCTTTCAGCTCTGAAACATTTGACCTTTTTAATTAAATTAGGAATTCCTCCTCTTCCCTGTAGCAGCGAGCGAGGAAGGGAGCATCGCCCCTCCTTCCACTTGTTTATCAGCAGGAATTTGTGTCCTTTTCATGTTGCATTTTAAATTATGCATGAAATGTATTTGCATATGTTGTGGATGAGTGAATGCTTTGCATCTCAATACCAAATTACAATCTAAAGGATACAAAATTAATGTGCTGTTTTGAAAACACGATTATGCCATGCTGAGTGCTAACATGCGCATGGGAAACAAAAATAAATGCAGTACACATACAAGGCACAAGTCGACACTAACACACGCACATGTCCATGTTTGACTGTGGCATGCATGGGGCAGATTCCAGTGAAAGTGTGTGTCTGTTGAGGTGTTGTTGTACAAAAGGGGAAATGCCTGTGGAGGCTCAGATGGTGACAGATGGTTTGGAGACAAATCAGCCTGGGAGTCAGGATCTCTGCCCTGGGACTAGTCGCCGCTTTAAGTAGGTTTGTGTGTATGCGTTGATATGCATGTGTTGGTGTGTGTCCAGTTTCATCCTATATATATATGTTTTTGCATATGCATGACTGAGCATGTCTCTCTTTGTGTGTACTAGATGTTAAAGTCATGGTTTGTGTATATGTACACATGGTTATATAATGATTCTCATAACATCATGCAAAAGTGTGACGGGAACATCAAAATATATTGCTTTCACAAACTTTACAGGGCAAATATTCATGGGGCAGAACAATCTAAATTTTTATTTATTCAAGCTGCACTTCGCACTAGAGCCCTTAGAGCTGTGTTTTATGAGTGAATACATACAAAACACACACACACACACACACAGTCACAGCTCACGCCAGTTTTACACACAGCGACACATGCACGCTGCAGAATAATGTAGTTTCAGAATCTCCACCATATATTAACAGGTGCAATTTCTCATCAGTGTGACATTGCTACTCTTTGGCAGAATAACCTTGCAGGCATTGAGTCTGAAACTTCACAAAGTGCTTTACAACCTGCCCATAAATTACAGCTGAAGAGGTGCTTATGTGGCAGCCAGGAGAGGTTGAGCAGTACATATATTCCTAAGGCCTCTGCATGGAGGCAATTCCCAGTGGCTGCTACCCTTAAAGTACACTTCAGTCCAAACCTGTTTTAACCGTTGGAGAGGGCAACTGCTAAAAGCTCTGCTGGAGTAATGCATGACTGCATAAACATTCATCTCCATCTGTTGTCTTACATACATTCACTAGTGCGTATGTGTGTGTGCACATGTGTTGTTGTGTGTCTTAGCAGTTGAGCTTGGCCTAGACTACTTAAGCCCCACTAGCCTTTAATAATCTCATTCCCAAGATGTACCATCTAGGTCAGGGGCTTCCATCCTCTCTGTGGCTGCTTACAGACCACAGAGACAGTGAAACAGGTTGTTCAGAGTACATTTTACTGCACAGTCAAGTCTTCTACTGTGAACTGTCAAGTTTTTGATTCTTGGATTCTGTCAGGGGAGACTGTGGCTCAGGAGATGAATCATGTTGTCCACTAAAAGGAAGGTTGGTGGTTCGAATGCCATCCTCTGCAGCCAGGATGTTAAGATGTCTTTGGGCAAGAAACTGAACCCCAAGTTGCCCCTGATGGATGTGACACAGATAAGCACTAGATATAGTATCATATATGATTTTGACATCGAATCAGTACAGACATGATTAATATATACACACATACATGTTTCCTCACCTAATATCTTAATATAAATGCTATAAAAGCCACTGTATTGTAAGTAAGTTAGCTGGACATGCGAATTTTTACAGCTAACATTACAGTAGACATACACATTTATCAGTTTACTCTTGTATTATTGGTTTTGCCTGGTTGAGGTTTACCAACAGTGCCACCATTCTTACACCCAGATAGAAACAGTTCCTGGAGGCAGTCTCTGGCACTGAACTTCACATCTGGTTGAGAGTTGGATCCAGCATTATGGGATATGTTTATGTTTGTGTTGCTCTAAGGTACCAAGGGCTTCAGCTACTGCGTGTGTCAGCTGATGATTCAGTGCAAGGCTGCAATCAAGCCCCATTTAGTCACTGTGTGTTTCACTTTGGTGACCGCAGAAAGCCACTTTATAGCCGATGTTTACCAAATATTGAGCATCGCCTTCTGTCACTCTTGTCTCTCCCAAGAGTTGTTTTTCAGCCTTATCCTCAATGTTGTCTTTATTGACTTTATCTTGGGAAATTCATTTTCAATCTCAAATTTATCCTGCTGAAGCCATGTTATGCATGCTCTAAAAATATGAACAAAGTCAGTAGCCTTGGGTTGATTTGTGTAGATTAAGTGGACATCTGTCAAAAGTGGAGAGGGTTGCTGACATGTCTGCATAAGAGAATTGTGGGTCCCCAAAGGCCTGGGGTCCCCAAAGGCTCTTGAAACACTCCTCTGCATAAGTAGTGTGAAAGAACTGAAAGTTTGAGAGCAACAATTAACGAGATGTTTGCTCAAGTGTAGGTTTCTTGCTTGTTTTGAGTATAATACACATGTACAATATATGTTAATGTGGGAATTACTGGTATGGACTGGCTCAGAAAACATTATCTGTCCAAAGCCATAACAGAGGCAGAAAGAGGGAAAATAAGAAAGGGGAGGAGGAAGAAGGATGACTTTGTTTTGCTCTGAGGACAATGCCTTCTAGAAAGGAGCGACACAATAGGCTCCATTCACTGGCACACCAACAACAGCATGACATTTTGTTCCTGTGACTGGACATCATGCACCCACCCAAACCACAGTGGGATTTCCAAACTCTCGGTATGGAGGCAGGAGCAGTGCAGTTACCATGCATGCCGTGTCTCTTACAGTAGCTGCATACTGTGAACCACTATCACACCTCATAAAAAAAACCCACTTTCACTTCAGTGCATCAGCTTGTTTTTATGATGTCTATATTATATAACCAAAGTGGTCAATTGTTTTTCTAGCATGTTTTTGTCGCTTGTTCATTTTCGTGTTTGTATCTTGCAGCATTTTGAGGCAGAGCTTAGCATAACAGCACAACAACAAACGTTTGGTATAAAACCAGCGCTCGCAGCCAATCAGCCTGACCGACCTGGGAAGCTTTAACCATGCAGCTTGCAGCACTGATTGGCACAGCCTAATTGATTGCTGTGTTGTTTTTTTAATCATCAGAATGATTATTAGGGAGTGATGAATAGTCGGCGAGATATTTACAAAATCTTGAGGCATGTTTTTTGTTGCACACTCCACAAATAGTGATGTTTCTACTTTTACAAGATTTTATGATGCATTTTATGGTTTGCTTGTTAAGTTGAGCTGGAGGGAACAAACTTGTTTTAATGACATTTTACCAACTCTGTCACCTGCTTAAAAAAACTCTCTTTACATGGAGGAGGCATTAATCAAAACTCCGAAAAACCCTATGACTGTGCTAATTAATTGCTTGTGCCCTGGTGTGTGCAATATTATATGATGCATGTCTGTTATATCATATTTTTATATTTTCAATTTGATGAAGCTTTGGTCCAAACTGGATTAATAACACTTGCCTGTGTCCACTCCACCTGATAGAGTCACACCTCCCACATACAGCATTCATTAGCTGGGAACCAATTCTGATGCCGCCTCCTTCGTGGACTGAGTAGACTGGAAGGTCAAACCGAAATGAGACAATACAGTCTGATTGGTGTTACCAGCTTGTTACCCCCTTACTGCTGTCCTCCAGCAACAGAGCTGCAGTTTTACCCAACAAGAATGTTTTAATGCCCATTGGTTTACAGTGTACGGTTTGGTTGAGTTTAAGCCTGATACTTCAGCATTGGACGTCTTTTCACTTGCATCATTACCTCTTTGAAAAACAGATTGCAATGAAATGGGATAGGTTGGCACGAGAGGGATCCACCCATTGGATCTCGAATTTGTGGGACGCATTTGGAGAAGCCTTCTGAAATGGGAGAGCCTAGTCGCACTGCTGTGATGCAATTGATCTTCAAATGCAGCTTCTGGAGCTAATGTCATAATGCTAGACAGAAAGCGGAGAACAGTTTGAGGAAGACAGATTGAAATGAAAGAACTTGTGTTGCCTTTCAGAATAAGAGTTGCAGTGCAGCAATGAGTTTTGAGTGTTAATCTTCAGCTTTCTTCTTTCGTTCTTTGGTCCAGGTTTGCCAGGGTTTTCCAGCATGTTTGGGAAGAAGAAGAAACGGCTGGAGATCTCCGCTCCGTCTAATTTTGAGCATCGGGTCCACACGGGCTTCGACCCGCGGGAGCAGAAGTTCACCGGGCTGCCGCAGCAATGGCAGAGCCTCCTGGCGGACACTGCCAACCGGCCCAAGCCCATGGTGGACCCCTCCTATATCACCCCCATCCAGCTGGCACCAATGAAGGTAGAGAGTGAATAGACAGAGGGCTTCAGGCCTGACCACTGGGGGACAAATCAGTAACAAAGACTCTTTATTTTTCTGTTTCTCACCCACATCTGTCCTCTCTCTGTCTTTATGTATGAATTTATATTTGAACAACCCTTATTTCCATCCACTGTCTTAAATCTGTTAATTTTACTTTTCTTTCTTTGCATTCTCACTCTGTGTAGCTGTTTTTCACTTTCACTATTCACTCGTTACACTATGTTGTCTTTCCTCAGAGGCAAAATAGAAAATTCTCCATTGCCACCTGGCTACTTCACACTGTTACATTTTCCATTTCACATATAAAATTATAGTCATATCAATATAAATGGTATTGCTTTAAAGCTGCATTTCTTTTTATATTAAAGTAACATTGAATGAGTCCCTCATACAACATTTAACCCATCAGGACCTAAGGTGCCAAATTTAAAAGCACTCTAAAACCCTAAAAGTGATAGAATTGCCAACGTTTACGAAATGTTTTATTAATTTCCAAAGCAGATAGAGACACGAAAGTTAAAAAAGCATTTGATAGCTGAAACATTTGGATTTCCTTTTAAATCATTGCTGTTTCTCCTAAACTTTGTGAACATAAAAAAACAACAATGAAACCAAACCAACCGAGACCCCGTCTTCTCTGCTTTAGCTACTGTTACAATACAGTGTCGTCATATTTAAATGGTTTTATATCAAACATAAAAAACATCCAACACATCTCACTAGCTCACTAACTATCTCAGCTCAGCCTCAGAGAACAGAGGTAAAAAGAAAAAAAGTTAGAGTCGAAATTTGAGTATCTGAAGACCATTTACTGGAGCAAGGGTTTATTTTATGTTATACCTTATTCTATGAATTATCAAAAAAAGACCCAAAACATAGTTAAATATAAGCCAGTGAATATTACATAGATACTTTATCCAGACTTACGATACACAAATTTACCACAAGCTCTTGATAAACTCAAAGTGCTTCTGCCCCCTGCTGGTCAGAAATTGCCTAATGCAGCTTTAATGAAAGTACCTTATTAATTTTATGTATTAAATCAAACCATAACCATCACAGGCCTGAATACAAACTGAGGTCCCTTTTCATTCTGCTCTATTTTGCTTCCTTTCCCACCCTTTGACTGTGATTGTGTGTCTCCTCTTGTCTCCGAACCTTCTGAGTGTCTCCTCTGATGTGTTGTTGTTCATTGGTTCTTCTGTACATATCACATTGTCCTATTTGATCAACTGAAATTTGATATAGATAGTTTTAGCTGTCATTTATAAACGTGAAGATTAATATTTCTCTGCACCTTTCTCTGGGTTGTAGCAGAACATGTGATTGTTTTGTACTGTGAGGACCTTCTCCTGCATACTGCAGGTTGTATTAGGCCTCGTGGGTCTTCTCAGGGTCACTGCTTAAACTGTGACTTTTCTTTTCTCGTCCATTGTACTGTCTGTGGTCCCATCTTACTGCGTGCGACCCATTTTCCAACCTCTCAGTGGGCCAGTGCCCCTCAGCTATGAACATAGGGACCCTTTGTCTCGTGTGTGTGTTACAACACCTGCTTACACCATTTTTGTTGACCTTGATAAGATGTTAAGATCACTCGTCCCATAACCAACTCTCTTCTTATCTTTATCAATGCACTACTGTGAGCATTAAGCTAACTGACTGTTTATATATTCGTCTTTGAGGAACCACTTACAGGTCTAATAATGTGCTCAGACATCCACTAAAGTCCTGTAACAGAGAACAGCAATATGCCACAGGAGATATCTCTGAAGAGGGGGAAACAAGACAATAATTCTCTTGCTCTCTTCACAGATATCTCCCAAGAAAGTCCGGTCATCCGAAACGCCGTTGCCCAAAGTATGACATCCTCTTCCCTTCTGTTTTCAACCCTCCTTTCTTTTCTTTTCTTTTTTTTGTTCAGCCACAACTTCGCTGTTTTGTTTCCACATCTCTCCTCCAGTGCCTGCTGTCATGCATTCAGGTGGAGGTGATGTATCAGCAGGAACAGGGAGCAGCGCTCGAGAATGACTCCACACACATGACATAACTACATTGCTCTGCCAAGTCTTTTCTTAGACTTCATCTCCTATCTCCTTTTGTTCCATCCGCATGAGCCTCCACAGAAAAGACTAGATTAACCTTAGCAGCATGCACCCTTGTTTCTCCCCTTTGCTATAGAGCACCATTGATAATGATGATGATGATGATAATCATAATGATGATGATAATGGTGATGATGATGGGTGCTGAGATATGAAGTGCATGTTGCCATGACAACTGATTCTGCTGTGTTGTAGGCCACCAGAAAATAGGTTATAAAGGGTTTGCACGTGCTAGAAGGACCCTTTCTACAACTCTCCTCTCCTCTCCCCTCTCTCCTTTCCTCTCCTGCCCTGTCCTCTCCTCTCCTTTCCTTTCCTTTCCTGTCCTGTCCTGTCCTGTCCTCTCCTCTCCTCTCCTCTTCTCTTCCCTCCTCTCCTTTTCTTTCCTGTCCTCTGCTGTCCTCTCCTGTCCTCAAACATGAATGGGTTGAAAGAATGTGATATATTTCAAGCAAGTTTTTTTTTTATACCTCTGTTTGGGGCAAAAGAAACAACAAAGATGGCAGAGAAAGGACATAACAAGTGACTTGAATCAGAATTTCAGAGGTTGCATGGATTTACTGAACTTGAAATTCCAAAACAAGCTTTAGGAGTAAAATACTGGTTTATTTTTTGTGTGGTCATCTTGACGTCTGCCCTCAGTTTTTTCCAGTTTATTTGGAAATTTCTGTGCATATGAGAGAGAAAGACAGTGGAAGGCTCAATTAACAGGCTCTAACAGGGCACGGCCCATACCTGCCACATCTTTTTATAGCTCAATGTTCATCATGGTAAACATAAAATATTTGACATGCTCCTCATTAAGCAAATTCATTGGACGGTCACATTTTGGCCTTTTTAATACACAGAGATATTTCAGATTGAAAAACTATTACTATTGTCACATTGAGACTTTAACACCCTGCCCACCCTCAAACAGATATTTGGTAAACAAATTTTGTCCTTTTTCCTTATTCTTTTTTAAAAACACCTTCCAAAGTATCCATGTGCACATGTAAGACAGAGCATGCTCACAAAGTTCTTCTCTGGTATTTAGATAGAGTACTTTATTCATCCCCGGAGGGAAATTAAGTTTTTTGTCGCATCATTGATCTAGACTTTATCGCCACCGTCTGACATGCTTTTGTAGGTGTTTTTGTTCTCATCTGGACGGAGATATTTTGTAAAATGAAGGTCGGAGATTTGTTAGGGTTTTAAACAAAGGGGAAAATATCCCTTTCAAGTAATAATTGCAAAAAGGACAAACAAGTATGAAAGCAGTCTGTATTTTATAACTGTATATACTCCTGGGATACTGTTAGTGGATTTCAAAAATTTTATATTAAAATGAGCATTTTCAGTATCAAAATCACCCAGACTCCCCTTACGGTAAAATACCCATCCGAAGTCTTTATTAAGAAAAGTATTTTGAAGTGGGGGTCACTTCACTCCCGTGTGAAATCCAGATGATCTTGCACTGCTCTCCTCTCAGCCGTGTGCAGGCACAAAGAATACAAATTAGCAAATGTGGGTAGAAGTCATATGCAAGTGCTAGTTTAAAATTGCAAATGAAGTAAGCTCCTGCTCAAATAGCATCAGTAACACAATTCAGTTCTTGCTTTCTGTGAAAACCTGTTCTCCACTTACAAATCCGTCTTTACATTTTGTTCAAAAATGTGCTTTTTGGATTTTTTAAATTGTATTCACTCCATTCTTTTTAGTTGTGTGTGTGCACATGCATTGCTAGTGAGTCTGTCTCTGTGTGACCCTGACTCTCAAGGTGGGCCGGGATATTTATAGTGTCTCACCCATGGCCTGATATCCTTCTCCCCTGGTTGCCCTGACACTTGATTGACACAAGGCTTCCTCTGCTTGGCAGACTCCCCCAGCTTTGTCCACTAATTGTGTTTGTCTGTGTGTGTGTATGTGTTTATGAACACACCAGGTGGACATGGATGAAGTGGTTTCCAGGCTGGCAGACTTCCAGTGCTGTCCCCACCTAACCATGCAGAGAAATAGTAAACTGTAAAAGGTCAACCAAGGTGTGTGTGTGTGTGTGTGTGTGTGTGTGTGTGTGTGTGTGTGTGTGTGTGTGTGNTGTGTGTGTGTGTGTGTGTGTGTGTGTGTGTGTGTGTGTATATGAAATAACTACTACCTCTGCCCTCTGGCTTGTGCGTTCATCGTGCATTCACCCGTCTTGTACTCTTGTTGTCAGACTGCTCTTCACTGCTGAGCTATAGTTTTGCTTAAAGCTTTGGCTCTCATCTCTATTCTCTCCCCTCTACCTCCCCCTTCTCCAGCCCTCAGCACACATGCTAATCCAAAACTTGAGGCCAACACCGTGGCCTTACAGTATATTTCCATGTTTCAAACATTGTGCTCTTATAGCTTCTCCAAGTGTACCAGAAGTATGTCAATGCAAAACACGTTTTTATGTTGCATTTCTTGGTTTGATGTCGATGTGCAAGGTTCAAGTGTGTTTGTGTAGGTGGGTGTGTGACACAAAGGACTACATGTGTGTTAATTTGTTGCATTCATTAGCACTAGCATTTTGCTGTGGTTATTAATGGCAGCTCCATGTTGCACCTTGACCCTGACACACTCAAATTGCAGACTCCTGTGGAGCTGAGGAGGTAATTTACCGGAATGGTGTGTGTGTGGGTGTGTCTGGGTGTGTGTATATGTGTGTTTGAGTGTAAGCACACAATCTGTTGACATGCATGTATTAGTATTTGAGGGCTTGGTCCTGTTAGATCTCCTTGTTATCTACTCATGTTTCCTCAGCCATGGCCAATATTAGATGTATGGGTTCTTGTAAATGAGAAACAGAACAACGACCTGTGAAAGAAAGACGCGTAAATGCAAAGATGTGAAGTTTTCCTCTCTTTTTTTTCTTTTCTTTCCCTGATTGAAGATTATGATTTGTGGGTTTACAGTAAACCATTTTTCATGCCTCAGCTAGTGGCCTGAGACATTATGTTTTTGTTGTCTCATTCTTGTGAACATGATATCTCCGGAGGGAATCTCTAATACGACAGTCAGTTTTTAGTATCTAGAAAAATGGGTCAAAACTTTTATAACCCGACAATAGCTGTTACAAAATAAAGTGCTTAAAAAAGCAGCATGAAAATAATTAATTAAGTTGCAATTAACAACAGAGCTGTTTTAATGGGATTCTAATAAACAGCAGTAGTTGATATCTTATACTCACAAGGTCAGGGTCAGTAGTAGACAATGTTGGATTATATTCAGACAACAACAGTAGAGATGCATAAACTGTACATCAGTGTCAGTTTGCTGCAGAAAGAGTAAATAAGCTAAATGAGAGATAATGTAAGTCCATTTAAATTTTTCCTCCGATGCATGATTTACATGGAAGCTGTTTAAATACTTTGTCTTGATCCCAGGGCTATCAAACAGCCTCAAGGCATCGACATCAGCATCAGTGAGCTAGATAGAGAAAAAAGAAAAAACTACTTGTGAGGATTTTATAGAAGACCAGCTAATTCCTCGTCATGCTACATTAGCTGTAGCAAAAGAGAGGATAATAAGTGGACCTGGAGGGATCAATGGAATAATTTGTGCATCGTGATCTAAGTTGGATATTTCTCCTTATCTTCAAATAACATGTTCCCCCCCTGAATGAAGTCGAATCCACCCCTCTGATATCTGAACGCATGATTTAATTTTGCGTTGTCTCTGACAACAAATCCAACAGAGCACTAACAGCTCATTTTTTAAAAATAACACCTACATTTAAACCATTTTTGATTAGTTTGCATTTTGACACTTACAGCCTCAGTGTGAGTAATGATATCACTTTCAGCCTCACGCCATGCGAGTGAGACGTTAATGTGAGAATAGTTTTACAGCTCGAGTGGATCCACAGGTTTTCGTGATTCAGTCATGTGGGTTTAGTGATGAATGTTCAGCCACAGTTGGTTCTATATAGATATATATATAGTTATATAGCTTACTGCCTGCATTTAGATTACACATTCCAAGTAACATGACCTGAGTCTGCAGGAAAGGAACCAATTCTGGTGCATGTATGGTGCATTAGAACTTAAATTTACACATGCACGTTGATTCTGTGATGAAGGAGGCTGGTGCATATGAAGATAATCAGATATTTGAGTAATGATGTTTATATTCGGGATATTAGGGTGGAAAAAATATCTGATACTGATACGTCAGCTGATATGATTTAGATCCCTGGCTTAGTATCGTTTTACACTCTCAATAAACTTTGAAGTGTATTATTTAATGAAAAAGTAGTCTCCACTGCCATTAGAGGTGATATTTCAACAAAATATAGCAGTCCTTGTTGAGCCTGTATTCTTTTCTTCCTCTTCTCCTTTGTGATTTCTAAAATTCCCAGAAGGACTGCTGACAACCTCCAGAGTCCACTGCCTACCCGGTGTAGGTGGAGAGAGCTGCTGGTGGTATTTCAGATTGCTGCACAACAACATCTCGCTGCTGTCAAACCCATTATAGCCTCTCTGAAAATATCTCAACCATAGATAAAAATGATTCAAAATGCACCCAGATTTGTTGGGTGCATGGCTGGAAGATGCGTATTTAACAGTGTGAAATGTTTACTTTAATTCATGCATAAAAGTTGTATTTCGGTGACTTTAATGATACAGAATGTTAATGTTGTCACTGTGGCTCATAGGGAGACAAAAGAGGCGACAGCACATGACAGCGGGCACAACAGACAAGGTGATAACTGGTACAGCGCTACTGTAAATGTCAGTAATAGCACAGCCCCCA